GCCAAGCTAAAACAATGGTCGAGTCGGTCCAAGCGCGCAAATTTTCATTTTGCACGTGTAGCACTTCAGCAACCTCTCTTAATAGTTTTACTAATAAAACGGCACCACAAAGCTCCAGTCGTGGAATAGAAATTTGTTTAATAGGAGCTACCTTCGTTTTACACGTTATCAAATGCACATGTACCTTTCCTGATCCGTCAATCACTCGTGAGTAAACTACAGCAGCGTAAGCATCATTGGAAGCATCACTGAAACCATGAAGCTCCATGTGGCGGTGTTTTTGAGTTATTCCAATCCATCTTGGTAAATGAAACTTGGTAAGTGTTATAAGTTCTTCACGGTAAGTCATCCATTCATTTAATAGTTTTTGCGGTAGCTCTTCATCCCAATCGATTCCTGCAAGCCATAGTCGTTGGATAAATATTTTTGCTTTGACTATGGTTGGAGCTATCCATCCCATTGGATCAAACAACTTGGCAATGTCACTAATCACCTTTCTTTTTGTTACTGGGTAACTGACCGGCAGAAGCTGCACAGAATAGTCGAAACTATCAGTACGTCGATTCCAGTTAAGTCCGAGAATTTTTATCACTTCATCCATTTTTAATTCCATATTTTCTTTTATAGCTTCATTATTCTGGTTTATTTTATTTAATACTTCTACACTATTGCTTGACCATCGTTGAAGTTTAAATCCAGCTTTATTTAAAACTTTATTGATTTCGAAAAACAATTCTTTCCCTTCGGAAATCGTTTGGCAGCCCGTTAATAAATCATCCATGAAAAAATCGTTCAAGATACAGTGGTAAGCTACTGATTTTTCCCCTTCATCATACGCTGACTGGCGCAGAGCTCTTACCGCTAGAAAAGGTGCTGACGCCGTACCAAATGTTACCCTCAACAAACGTAAATGTTGAATGTCTTCTTGAGGCTTCTTCCGCCACACTAACCGTTGATAGTCGATATCACTCTTATCCACTTTTATTTGATGATACATCTTAATGATATCAGCAGCGAGACATATAGGATGGAGTCTCCATCTCATAATTGTGTGGCGTAGCTCAGCCTGTAAAGTGGGCCCCACCATCAATTCACTGTTTAAAGATACGCCATTGTGGTCAGGACACGAAGCATCGAAAACTATTCGTAATTTGGTTGACGGTTTGTCCGCTCTGATAACTGCATGGTGAGGTAAGTAAACACTTTCTGATTTATTGACCTCTTCTGTTGGTACCACCTCCATAAATCCAAGGTCTAAATACTCTTTGATAACATTACCGTACTGAACTTTTATATCTGGAGTTTTTAATAAGCGTTTTTCGAGTGATAAAAATCTTCTGATCGCTATTTGTCGTGAATTTCCGTACTTGCATACTGGATCGACACTTTTAAATGGAAGTTTAACGACATAATGACCAGACAAGTCTCTTGATGTTGTTTGTTTAAACAAATCTTCGCAACGTTGTTCTTCAGGTGTAAATTGCTTGTTAAGACAAAATTTGTCAGATTCGATTTCCCAGAATTGTTTCAAATCAAACTCTTCGTATTTTACACCAGCATGATGGGAGGTTATATTATGACATCTCGAAGATTCGTCATTGGTATTGTTAATTTCACCAGAAACTATCCAGCCAAACCTCGTGTTTTGGGCAATGAGAGATCCTTGCGAACACTTCATTAAGCCTTCAGTTAAAATATGACAATATACCTCCGCTCCCAGTAAGAGGTCTATTTGGTTAGGTACGTTAAAATTTGGGTCTGCTAGCGTCATTCTTGGTAGAGTTGACCACAACTTGTTCATAAACTTTCTTTCAGGAAGGAATGACGTTAGTTTCTTGAGTACATAAGTCTTGACATTGATGGTAAAAGTCGGATCTTGAATTGATTGTAGTTTAATAAAAACTGCATATTTGGAATTCAGTGATGTGTTCTCATCACCTCCTACCCCCGTAATGACACTATTGGTATGTATTTTCTTCAGTCCAAGAAGTTGGACTGCAGACTCCGTGATAAAGGATGCCTGTGATCCTTGATCCAATAAAGATCTTAGTGTCATTTGAGATCCGAGATTTGTTTCAGCTTTCACTAAAGCTGTTGCCAATAAAACTTGATTCTTATTGCTAGAGAAACAAGTGGTAATTTTAGTTTCTACGATCTCGCCTGTTGTTGTAGCTGTTGCTGCCACAACACTAGTATCTCCTGATTGTAATGTTACATCAGGATTGCTTGAATGTAATAATGAATGGTGTTTCCTTTGACAGATGCGACACCTAGTGGGCAAACGACAAGATAAAACCGTATGATTTGAACCTAGACAATTATAACATAAATTTGAGGTTTGGACAAATTTACGACGGGCAGATATATCTTCCTTTGCAAATTTCTTACAATTTCCCAATTTATGACTATTTTCGAAACAAAAAGAACATGAAACAACATTTTTATCTCTATTATTACTTATAACATGTGCTTGAGTAATTTTTATATTTTTAGAATCTAAGAATTCCAACGCCCTAAACCTATGCTCCAAAAACTCTAAAAATTGGCTTAATGTTGGCAATTCACTGGTCAAATCACAAATCCTAGCCTCCCACTTTTTACGAGACTCGGTATCTAACTTTAATACTAAGATATAAATGACTATAGAATCCCAATTCTCGGTATTTACTCCCACATTTTTTAAAGCATGAAGACACTCGTTTGTTGTATCAAAAAGATTTTTTAAAGCACTTGACATTTCATGTACAATATTTTTCTGACTAAAAAACTTCTTTAAAATACAATTAGTTGCATATCTCTTATTATTAAACCGATGCTCTAACAGTTCCCAACACACAGCATAGTTATCACTAGATATTGGTAGATGACGCAAAAGCTGCTCAGCTTCTCCCGATAAATAACTTTTTAAATAATGGAGTTTCTGGACATCCTGTAGAGCTTGATTATTATGAATGAGAGATACATAAAGATCCCGAAATGTTGCCCACTCTGCATATTTTCCCGAAAACATTGGGATAGCAATTCTAGGTAATTTGACCCCACTCTGCTCTGCATCATGACTCGCTTCTGAAGCTGAAGAAGTTTTCTTCTGTGCTTGAACACATATTTTTAAACACTCCTTTAATTCAGACTTATAATCAGTATACAATTCCTCAACTAAACCATCAATATCCTTTATAAAATATCCCGACATTTCTAAATCATCCTTTTCTGATTCGCATATTAGTTTCTGATGCGTTGTGTCGAATGATTCCCAATACTTCTCCAAAGTCTCAGTTCGTGTTTCAATATAAGACACAGTTATTCTGTCCTTCGGAGATTTTTTAAAGTTGGTAAAGGCTCGCTGAATTTTCTTTTGTATATCTTCTAGTAGTCTTATCAACGAATCCATTATAAATATCGGAATTTTTTTATTTTTTAATCAGTGAGCAAATTTTTCTAAGTCCGGTATAGGTGAAATTTTTCTAAGTCCAGTTTACTCGAAATTTTTATGTGTTTAGTTATTATTAACTTAGGAAAAATTGGTCATGGATTCCCCGTATAACCACTATTTCGGTTAAAATTTTACAAGTCCATTCACACTGTTAATTTTTTAAGACATTTCTTCCTAGTGGTTAAGGGTTATTTTTGCTTGTTACCTCTTCTACTGCTTAATATAGATTTTCTACTTACAGTTTTTGACTATACCAATTTTGCTCACTGACTTTTAGCTGGAACTGCTCTACTCCGTTTCTCCACCAGATGGCACCACTGTCACTTAATTCTTCATTATCCGGCTCGAAGGACCATGTTCAAATAAAATACCATTACTAAGGCTGAGAATATTTAATACAAAAAACAATTGAGATACTTATACTATTTTTTGAATCAAAACGATACCGCGATTCAAGGAACCACAGGCAACATCTATTGGTTGAACATAAAACTATAATAATTTAAACATACCGCGATTCAAGGAACCACAGGCGACATCTATTTGTTGAACATAGAACTATAATTATTTAAACACAATGTTACAAGTACACGTTATATATTAGGTATTTCAATATGACGATTAACTTTTTATCATTGACGTATTATTTATTATATATTAGAGCAGTGAGACCGTCCTGTTACATATTTTGTAACCTAATAATGTAATATAATTAAATATTTATTAATATAGGACTAGGGTGGTATAACCTATAAATAGGTCATAACTGACTTTTTCATACAATTAAGTTAAATTTAGCAATTTCTCAATACAAAAACATAATAAAGAGAATTTACGACTCCATCGCAATCGCAGTACAAACTGTTGCTGTAATTTTGACAAAATTAATTTCGTATTAATTTATCGGCCTACTCTGATTTACGTACGAGTTAATTAGATTTTATAGGTAATAAATAATTTTCATTTTCGCATCGAATATATACTTTTATATTTTAGAGTTATGCAAGGTGTGTATTGTAAAATGTTAATAAAATGCATGCGATTTTGTTACGAAAAATATTCCAAATATATTTTACATTTCATCATTAAATTCCAATATGTTAAATTCACTGTAAATATATTTATTTACATATTAAATAATAAATGCTTCTAATTTTACATTTACTGCCAGTTCTCAAATCAAGGGCGTAGAACGGAGTAGAAGAACTGGAAATAAACTCTCCGCCACTCTTTTTAATCGCCAAGTTTTTTGTTTTATACTATGTTTGTTAATTGTTTGTAAGGAGCTGCAATTATTACACCATGTTCTATGTGACATCTTAAGTAAGTGATAAAAAAAAAGACAAATTAAAAACAAAGATTTGTCCTCTATCAGCACTAGGCATGGTGAAATAGGAGCACGCACTTACATTCTCGTGGGAACAACACGCAAACACATAGTCGAAATAACTAACATCACCGCATACACGAATTCAAGTTCGACCAGTCACCACAAGTAGCACCCGTTCACGAGTATGACGCATATATATATATTGTGCTTTTGTTCCAGGGGAGGTGTTAGCCTAAGATGGTGCTGGCGTTTGTGGTCGGAGTCCTGTGCGTGTGTGGCCGCTTAACCGTCGCAAACCCGGATGCGAAGCGGCTCTACGACGACCTCTTGTCAAACTACAATCGGCTCATTCGGCCGGTCGGCAATAACTCAGATCGTCTAACCGTCAAGATGGGGCTTCGTCTGAGTCAGCTCATCGACGTTGTAAGTACATTGTCTATACTAAAGCAACCGTACCGTAAAATACTAACCTGTGAAACAAAATACCATCAGAGTATAAATAATATTAAACACATAAGATACACAATATCGCTACTGTGAACCCACTCTGCGAACATATAAAGTGTCGATAAAATAAATAAAATAAAAAATAAAATATGTTTATTATGGAACGTAAGATACAGGTATTACTTATTCCACGTCATTAAATTTGAATTTGTAGGCATCCCTATTCATCGGCAAAGAAGACAGAGGGTGTAGGCCGAGAGAAAAAGCCGGCGTAAACAACTCTCGGTACTCTTTTAAAATAGCAAATCATCAATCAACACTTATTTTAAAACAAATATCGCAAATTAATTAGAAGTACGTCTAGCACTAGTCCCACTTTTATCAACTAGATAATCGTTAACTTTATAGTAAGCCTTTTTACACAGCTTTTCTTTAATACATTTCTAAAATGTATTAAAAGGCAGAGATAAAAGAGCCTCTGGGATTTTATTAAAGATGAGTATCCCTTTTCCCAAAAAGAATTACTAACTTTAAATAGTCTAGTACGGGGAAATTGCAGCGTGCGTTTGTTCCGAGATAGTGACGGAGACAGCATTCAGTAAGCGCAACGTGTTTGTTAACTGGGATCTGTGCAACAGACTGGTTCTAGTCCTTGGTATCACAAACAACTGTCGCTCATGTCCCCTAGATACAAAGAAGCCGAGGTCTTGGAGAAGACTTGGGTTGCTCACTAAGACCCCTGCAAGACTTTAAGTAGATAGTAGGTCAACAGTAAGTCCCGTCTTGTTTCTAATTTATTGTACTGCACTATCCCCAAGACAAATAATGTTCGGTAATAAGGGATAGTACGGGTAGATGCCATATACAATAACCATAATAATTATAAACTAAGTGTTTATTATTTTCATCATCAGATAAAGACGTATTAGTTTTTTTTATGATATAAATCATTTAATCATGCTACATACGAATAATTCGTATTTACAATTTTCTTACCCTACAAAGTAATAATAAAAATAATTAAACATATTTCAAAATAAAATTAAAACAAATTTAAAAGTTTGGTCCCTGTGGCAGTGTACCTTTTACGGCAGCATTTCCTTCCTGTATTGCGATTTATTCGTTGAGCCATGAAAGAACCAGCTGTGGGATCACCGGTACTATCTACCAGGCGCCAACTAAAATCTTTAATAAACGCCTGTGCACTTGAACCATAATATAAATATGTTTAAATTTAAACACATTTTATTTTAATTGTGTTTAATACAGTGGTTAAGCCCCTAAATCAATTTTCATTTATTTATATGTAAGATATTGCCAGATGCAAACCACAATCACAATGTAGGCACTCAAGCTCCCGTCAGCCTAATAGTATTTACTGAGCTAACATTGTATTTATGGTATTTATATACTTAAGCGATTTGCTGTCCCCGTATTTACTCAGAAAATAAATGCTTCATTTGCTCCCTAGTAACGCAATTAGTTCTTGACTTTATTACCAAATACTTCGACATTGCGATAGACTAGAAATAATATTTTTATTAGTAAATAATGTAATTGTGTACATATGTGGTTATAAAAAAGTAATTCAAAGTTAATTATAACAAATTTTCTTAATTCTACTAATTGGATTTGCAGTAAAAAACTACCTTAAAGATAATTAATTATTTATTTATTCATATATTTAAAATACATCAGAGAAAATATTACACAAAATACACAGAACATTCAAAGTATGTAACAAATAGACATGTGCACGAAAAAATTAAATAATCTAATATATAAAATTCTCGTGTCGCGGTGTTTGTGGTTAAACTCCTCTGAAACGGCTCGACCGATTCTCATGAAATTTTGTGTGCATATCGGGTATGTCTGAGAACATCTATTTTTCATCCCCCTAAATGTTAAGGGTAGTCCACCCCTAAATATTTTATTTTTATTTTTAGATATTTTTTTCTGATTTTATTTTTTTATGATACAACATTAAAAAATACATACAACCCCTAACTTTCACCCCTCTACGATCAACCCCTATTTTTTATTATAACTGATATACATGGCAAAACGACGTTTGCCCGGTCAGCTAGTGTTTTTATAATTCAGCCGTATTTGTGCCGTAACAATGGCTACATCATTACGCTTGGAGACATGAAGGCTATTGCAAGAAGTATCAGTTTCACAAACGACATGTCAGATAATAAAAGATTTATATTGTACAAATATATTACAATATACTTAATACTTTAAACACTTTATAAAATACTAGCTATGCTCCAAGTTCGGTGATATCTGGTTCGAACCAGTTGTTCCTGATATTAAACAAATAAGCTCATTAGCTTTATAATTTTAGGATGGGCTTGTTTAGATTAAAACTTGGATAAACAAAACTACTCGTTTACCCTTTTAATAACCCTCCATTAGATATTTTCATAAATAACCATAAAATCCGACACCAAAAGGCTTAACAGGACGACCCTTTGTGATTTGCGACCTCGTAATTAAATTCAAAATTTGTTCATGTTTTGCTTTCTATAGTTTTCAATTCGGAATCTGTGAGTGTTGTTGGAGTTTGCTCCTTAAGAAACGATTTGAGTTATAAGGCCCGGTACGGAAATTTTATGAGGAGTAAAATCAAGTGTAACACGAAAAGTTGAGGCGTTATGTGTAACACGAAAAGTTGAGGCTTTATGTAGAAAGAGACAAACATATATATCTGTAGGATTGAACGTGTAAAAGAATGAGATGGAATACATTACACAGACTTTTCTATTTTGAATTCACGTTTTGACAGCCACGTTTACAACATTGTCATTGTTGACAGGTGTAAAAAATAAAAGTAGATTGTCTTGCGTGCCATAGAGTTTTGTCAATAGTAATGGTCAGTGAAATTAAAACTAAAAAGATTGTTCATTCTTATTCTTCTCTTACTATAAAGGTAACTTTGGTCACAGAAAGAAAATCCTATTTGGGCATACGTACGTAGTAGTAATAAAACGTACCTACATCAGGTACGTTTTATTACTACTACAAACATTTATATTATAAAAACATATATTCTTACCACCTTTAGTATGAAAATATGGTCGACAGCCACAGAACATTATCGCCATCTTTGTTTATTATTTTTATATAATATTTTATAATACTTGTAAACTCCAATCGTGCGTCGTAGCTGACACACACACACTTTTTTTTTTATTATATATTTATCTGTGATTAAATGTACGACTTTAAACCTTGAAATACCACCTTCAGGCACCAATTCATTTTCTTCACAGAAAGAATACGGTGAAGGTAAATATCGTACTTTAAGTACAGGTGGGTTTTTTTCAAGCCCTACCCGTGCACCAATTAATTTTCTCCACAGAAAGGAAACACATTTAATAAGGTGAAACCTGCATAGATCTAAGACAGATTGCCTACTTGCCTCTAATTTAAGTGATCATAGAAACAGAAGCAATCTGATATTTTAGAGAAATGTAAAACCCGTTCCATAGTACAATTTGCCATACTGATTTAAGTTTGGGGTTATAGAAATGGAAATATACTTAAAATGGGAAGTAGGTTATCAGAATTCTGTATAGACCCACAATAATTATAGGTAATAAATTGTTTTTGTTGAAATTGGACTCGAGATCTCTAATAATAATAATACATAATAATAAGGTATAGGTTGAGGGTAGGCGCGGCAAGAAGTAATATCATGTCATGTTTGTTTGCGTTTTAAAAATATAAATATCAATACTATCTGTTTTAAAAGTAAAAAAGTGAAGCAGAAATGCGTAATAAAGCAGTGGAAGTGTTAATTCACTAATTCTGATTTAAGTTTGGGGGTTTAGAAATGGAAATATACTTAAAACGGGAAGTTGGTTATTAGAATTCTGTATAGACCCACAATAATTATAGGTAATAAATTATTTTTGTTGAAATTGGACTCGAGACCTCTAAGTTTTTAAAATAATTTCATGCCTTTTCTACTTTACAATGGTTCTTGCCAACGACTTTAAACGCATTTATCAATTTGAGTTTCAAATCTTTCACCTAAACCTTATGGTATAATATCAGTTACCAATTATTACATTAATTACTAAAATTATGTACAGTAGTTTATACATTCAATACAAATTTACAATATTTGTATACGTTAATTAATGAAAATGTGTTTCATTAAATGAAATACATTAATATTCCAATTCTAGTAACACAAGCCGTATTTATTAATCAATGAGGTTCTATAGAGTAAACGTGCAATTTTATGAAAACCTTCAAATTATTTAAATCAAATGTTTAAAGTAGCATTATCATAAGAAAATCAGTTTCAAATATGTATGTATGTATGAATTAAAAGATCAGAGGTCTAACCTTTCATTTAAAGTTTTCTTATATTATTATGAATAATAATCTGTGCTACAATTTAATTATTTGCCTCAGATTGCATCTGTTTTTTAACGTCTTTTTATAAACCAGTACTTTATCCATCTTCTATGCAGTCCAAACAGGTCTAAATGATGTCATACTAACGGTTGTGGTTTCTGGTAGAATGACCAGCGCTGTGGAACACGTCGGCTCCACAGAATAATGCTGAGCCAGGGCCAGTTACATCCACAACACACACATTACACTTTAAATATACCTTATTCCTTCTTTTTCCATAATTTTTAGTTATTTTTCTTTATTTGCTTATTATTATTTTTGAAGTCAAACTTCTTTATCGGCGTTGGAATGAAACTTCTTTATCGACGTATGGGAGAAATTTTGTAGCAAATCGTCACGTTTTTCAATGATAGTAATAATTATATTACAATTAATGAAATTCTATAATAATCTTCGTAGTAATAAGGTAAAATGAAATATTTGTATTCATGTCTATGCTAATAAAAGCCTTTTGTTAAACTTTATCTAATTTAACGAATTTCTGTAAAGTTGCATATAGTAGATCATTTTTCGAAAAATGAGATCATAAAGAAGTTTCACTTCTTACGTGTGTACACCTAGTACACGCACAATTTATTTATTTGTCTGTTCTGTGTGTGTGTTTCGTTAGTAATAAATGTTATGTTAAATGTTGAAATGTTAAAATACGATATCCATACTCTACTAGTATTACTTAAGGAGAGAAATGTCTATTGGGGAAGGGTATTTGCATTTGTACGGGTAACGCACTAGGCCAATACTGTTATTATCTATAAGTAGTTGAACAAAGATGTTCATAAAATGATTGGCTGGATAACAAACAGCTGTTCTGCTAGTAATTTAGCCACCTTGGTAAAAGGGTCGTGTCTGCTAACTAGGTCATTAGAACTTTCCTTCACCGTGAGATTAAGGCTCGTTATTAGTAACTAATTACTTTTTCATTCATTAAGCTTAGTTAATTAAAGGTTTTCGTCGAAAGCAATAGTAATTTTTCGCTGTTAAAAATACCAATTTTTCGCTAATATTGAAATAAGCGATCGTGTTCCAAAATTAATTTAGAAATTTTGACTTGCACTTATTAGTATAGATAACAAAGGAAAAAACAAAGTCTACCCTGAAGGGTAAAATATAATTGTAAATATTATCCAGCTTTACTTATTCAAGATACCCTACTTTATAGACTGTCTTTATAAAAAATTTTGTACTGTTCCGTAGTATTACAAAATAACATTCTCGCCCTATTTTCACGTATTATTTAAGACCCTTCATACACTCCAAGTTCACATTTTCTCAGCAATGAAACTTCTGGAGAAAATTGCTG